GTCAACTACAGTGTCCTTATCCACACAGTCATCTAAATCTTCTAATTCAGTCTCTAGAGACTTTACATCTCTTTCCAGTCTTTTTACCATCTTTTTTAAGCTGATATACTCAGAATGATAATTATCTAGCTTTTTTGCTAACACCCCAATTTCCCCAAAAAGCATATTATACACCTTTGAATTTTGCTCATATAACTCAAATATCCGGGCTATTTTCTCTGTACATCTGATAGCTTCTTGCTCAGTAAGTGTATTATCAGATGAATGCTTTTGACCAGTTGTCATTTTCGTGATATTTTATATATAATTTATCTTACTTCGAATAAAAAAAATAAAATTTAACAAACAACATCTAATCTACCCTCCCAAGAAAATTTATTTTGAGGAGGTATTAGTTTTCATCAGAGAGCTTGAATGTCTTTGCCTGATCATAAAGTTGTCCTCTCTGGCAGAAATTCACTATAGTATAGTTTTGTACTGGAGAGGTATGGTTGTCTGGCAAATGTCGAAGAGCTTGACTGGCAATGGTCATAGCCTCTGATAAATTCTTCACACCATTCGATACAACTGCAAATACTGCCCCTAATTTGCACAAAGAGCTAGGAAGTAGTGGTTTATGACTTTTTGTTTCAGGAATAAATTTGTCTTTTTTAGAAATGCACTTAAATATGTAGATCCAAGCTTTCCGGGGTCTCTTAACTGTTCAGAAGAAATTGCTTCCTGAATCTAAGTAAGGATTTGCTTAGCCTGCTCCTTATTCTTTTCTAGTGATCTAAATACTCGAGAAATATCTTGTTGATCTCAGTTTTTTGCATATCCTGTTACAGCCCCATTAGATATACGCAAGTTTTTAATTTTAGCAGAACGAATGCAGAGCATTATCATTACATCAGCTAGGGCTTGTTTATTAGGTATATTAGATACATCATATAAATTCAGTCTCTTCTTAACCGATTCTAATGAGAAGTGGTCTGAAAAATCGATCCTTTCATTTTCACGTTGCTCGCTATGCTCCTTTTGGACTTTATTAGATAATCTAGTTACCTCCAGATTTAATGTAGCAGAAATTATTTTTTCTGAAGCATTGAGGGTCTGCAATTCTCTTCGAAACCTAGAGAGACAAGATAAGGCAATGACAGTATCAGGTGATGTTTCTTCTAAGATTCTAGATATTGCTTTTACTTCTTTTTCGCTAAGTTTATCTTGTATGATATGCTGAGCTATTTCTTTAATAGTCTCCTCAGAACCAGTACTATCTAATACTTGACATATATTTACTTCTTCAGCTTTCAACTCTGGTTCTTCTGGGACCGGTGCTTGACTTTTGCATCGTCTGATTCTCTGAAGAGGAATCAATGCAAATGCCTGCTCTTTGCTAAAGCCATACTCTTTTATAAGACAATTACGAGCCTAGTACCTTTTTTCTTTATTATCTGTTAAGAGCTCAAGTATTTCTGGCACATATTGGCTAAGCTCTTCGAGACTAATCTCATTGGTGAGTTTGTGGTCTGTAATGAACTTAGTTGTGATAGCAGACATGATAAGGTATGTAGAATATATGTGATAGTTAGACTAATCCGTAGTATTTAGATTATATATTGTGGAAAAAAAAAGTTCAATTCGAAAAATTTTCTCAGAGCTATGCTTCTTCGGAAAGGAAGCAAAAAATAATGATATAACTTATGCTCTGGCTAGGAGTTTTACATTGATTTAAAATTTACAGGTAAATATGTAAAAAAAGATACATAGTCACAGAACTGCCATTCCAAAACTATGAATAAAAGAGTATGGCTTTAGCAAAGAGCAGGCATTTGCATTGATTCCTCTTCAGAGAATCAGACGATGCAAAAGTCAAGCACCGGTCCCAGAAGAACCAGAGTTGAAAGCTGAAGAAGTAAATATATGTCAAGTATTAGATAGTACTGGTTCTGAGGAGACTATTAAAGAAATAGCTCAGCATATCATACAAGATAAACTTAGCGAAAAAGAAGTAAAAGCAATATCTAGAATCTTAGAAGAAACATCACCTGATACTGTCATTGCCTTATCTTGTCTCTCTAGGTTTCGAAGAGAATTGCAGACCCTCAATGCTTCAGAAAAAATAATTTCTGCTACATTAAATCTGGAGGTAACTAGATTATCTAATAAAGTCCAAAAGGAGCATAGCGAGCAACGTGAAAATGAAAGGATCGATTTTTCAGACCACTTCTCATTAGAATCGGTTAAGAAGAGACTGAATTTATATGATGTATCTAATATACCTAATAAACAAGCCCTAGCTGATGTAATGATAATGCTCTGCATTCGTTCTGCTAAAATTAAAAACTTGCGTATATCTAATGGGGCTGTAACAGGATATGCAAAAAACTGAGATCAACAAGATATTTCTCGAGTATTTAGATCACTAGAAAAGAATAAGGAGCAGGCTAAGCAAATCCTTACTTAGATTCAGGAAGCAATTTCTTCTGAACAGTTAAGAGACCCCGGAAAGCTTGGATCTACATATTTAAGTGCATTTCTAAAAAAGACAAATTTATTCCTGAAACAAAAAGTCATAAACCACTACTTCCTAGCTCTTTGTGCAAATTAGGGGCAGTATTTGCAGTTGTATCGAATGGTGTGAAGAATTTATCAGAGGCTATGACCATTGCCAGTCAAGCTCTTCGACATTTGCCAGACAACCATACCTCTCCAGTACAAAACTATACTATAGTGAATTTCTGCCAGAGAGGACAACTTTATGATCAGGCAAAGACATTCAAGCTCTCTGATGAAAACTAATACCTCCTCAAAATAAATTTTCTTGGGAGGGTAGATTAGATGTTGTTTGTTAAATTTTATTTTTTTTATTCGAAGTAAGATAAATTATATATAAAATATCACGAAAATGACAACTGGTCAAAAGCATTCATCTGATAATACACTTACTGAGCAAGAAGCTATCAGATGTACAGAGAAAATAGCCCGGATATTTGAGTTATATGAGCAAAATTCAAAGGTGTATAATATGCTTTTTGGGGAAATTGGGGTGTTAGCAAAAAAGCTAGATAATTATCATTCTGAGTATATCAGCTTAAAAAAGATGGTAAAAAGACTGGAAAGAGATGTAAAGTCTCTAGAGACTGAATTAGAAGATTTAGATGACTGTGTGGATAAGGACACTGTAGTTGAC